ACCGCGTGGCGCTCCCCCTGCGCGTGCCTCCGCGGCGCCTGGGCGTCTTCCTGGACTGCGAGGCGGGACAGCTGTCCTTCTTCAACGTGTCCGACGGCTCCCACATCTTCACCTTCCACGACACCTTCTCGGGCGCGCTGTGTGCCTACTTCAGGCCCCGGGCCCACGACGGCGGCGAACGTCCGGATCCCCTGACCATCTGCCCGCTGCGGGTTCGAGGGACGCGCGTCCCCGAAGAGAACGACAGTGACACGTGGCTGCAGCCCTACGAGCCGACGGACCCCGCGCCGGACTGGTGGTGAGGCGCCCTCCTGCTCCCCGGATCCCAGGCCCGCGCTTTGCTCTCCTGCTCCGTCTGAAGTGAGCAGGTGCACCAGCCAAAATGTCAGCCAGGGGGACAAAGAGGGGGACCTTTGCCTACGTAGATGCGTATGTGTAATGCGATTTTCTTCAAGGAAAGGAGACACGTCCAAAACTCATATGCGGATTGTGGGACTGAGCGAATGAGTACAAAGACATCCAAGTCGCTGAGAGCCGGGGTTGCCTGCGGTGGGCGGTGGGAAAGAAGCCAGCGTGGAAGAAAGACGGAGAAAGCTTTGGTGACTGCATTAGAGGGATCAGTTAATTTGTATCATTTTATATTTTTTGTATACGTTTGCTAGCTCTAAAAAAGTCGAGACGCAATGACACTTCGTAAGCAACGAGTTCACCTAAGTAAGGCTCAGATCCTAGTTTTAAATAGCATTTCCCATTAAAATGAAGTTGAAGAAACAGCTGCTTCTGGGGCTGGGGCAAAAATTTCAAGGTGAGCCTGGAGCATTGTGTGTGGTAAAGTAAAATAAGCGCTCAAAACGTGACGGCAACATGGCAAAAGGGTAGAGGAGCCAGGCTGAAGGGACCTCACTGACCAATTGTGGGACAATTTGAACATCAGGATGAATAATGACAGGAGAGATGATAACGCACTGAATAAAAACATAATCCATGAGTTCATGCTGATAGTCAAATTTCTTTTTAAAAAGAAGAAACAGGAAGGTTTCTTTTAGAGGTGAAGTCTAATTATTGGTGAGAGTCTTTTGGAGAACAGGGTATTTTCAGTCTCAAAGCAGTGACCTTATACACTACTTATAAATTTGAAAGGGGAAATTTACTTTACAATGGAGACGTCTACCAGATCATCCAAGTGATTAAATTTAACACCATCAATGATGGCACCAAGGACATCATTAGTTTGACAATTGGGGAAAATGAAACATGAACAAGATATCACTGGAGAAGTGTTCTACACCCCCTACCCCCAAGATAGTCTCTCTGTTGGCCAGGCCGGGATGCAGCCTCAACCTCCTGGGCCCAAGTGATCCTCCCACCTCTGCACACAACACCATGCCCAGCTAATTTTAAATTTGTTATGGAGACGGGGTCTCACTTTGTTACCCAGGCTGGTCTCAAACTCCTCACTCAAGCAATCCTCCCACCTGGGCCTCCCCAAATGCTGGATGTACAGGCATGGGCCACTGTGCCCGGCTTCATTTTCAGGGTGAGGCATTTGTACTGTGGCTATGTAGGAGAGTATTCTTGTTCTTAGCAAACATACGAAGTTTTTAGATATAAATTACCACAGTGTCTGCCACTGAATTTCCAGTGACTAAGTGGAAAAATATAAAACATATTAATATAAAGAAAGAGACAAGTCAAATGTAGCAAAATGACAACACTTGGTGAATCTAGGTGACTAGTCGACAGATATTCATTGTACTATCAATGCAGCTTTGCTGTGGGGTTGAAATTTTGCAAACTAAAAGAGTTGGGTGGCGGGGAGAAGGATACACCAAAAAGCTTAGTGATTACCTTTGGATGGGAAAATGGTTGGTAATTGTATTTTTTAAACGTCTTCTTTGTATTTTTTAACATTCAATAATGTATATGTATCAGTTCTGTAATAAAGGGGAAGAAGCTGTGTTTTTTTTTTTTAATATTCATCTTCAAAATCATTCATTTGAAAGGAACTATAATGAAACTGCTGGACGATCTCCTAGGGCATTGTTTCAGAGTACAATTCAGAGGAGTAATGCTCTCCTCCCCTTGCCCTTATTCCAGGCAGAGCTTTCCTTGCCCATCTTGCTTGAGAAGGAGAATGAGGAAGGGAGACTAGTCGCAGCCAAGCTTTCTAACTGGTCTTTCCTCCTTCTTCCCTCTTTCCCTCTCCTTTTCTTTTCCTCTTCATGGGGACTGAGATTTCCACCAGGGCCTTCAGCACCGGGATGGGAATGGATGGGGCAGGGACACCTCTGGGGATGAGCTTTCACCCCACAGGCCCAGGAGTTTGGTTACACATCAGAGGGGGGTGTGCAAATAAAAAAATTCACGAAGTGTGCTGAGAGTCAGGTTTCTGTATCAGTGAAGGGAAATACGGAAATGCAGAAAGGGGAAAGCAGAGGGTGAGAGTAAGTCTAAGGTGGACTGGAATGAGAGGTATCAATGTGAACGCGTGGGCGTAATTTACTGTATGTAGAGAGATGGAATGCACGCACACACGTGGACAGATACATAGATGTGTGTGCATGCAGCTCGTTCCCAGCTGTGTCTTGTTTGAAGGCTTAGCAACAACACCACCCCAGTACCAATGGGCACACCTAGACCCAGAACTTAGTTTTTAGTACTATTTTCAGCAAAAGGAATGAAGTCTCCTTGGAGAAATGGTTGAGTCCAAGGCTAGGGCGGGGAAAATACAAGAAGAGCCTACAATATCCTACAACAGAAAATAATAAAGTAGATTGGACAGAAGAGCCAAGTCAAATGGATTTCGACGTCAGTATGGATTTTGAACCCCTGAATAAAATAGGAATCCATAAGTATTTCCCCACTGATACACATACATACATACATACATACATACACACATACACACACAAACAAATTCATGGAGAGAAGAGAAAGCTCTGCCCTACAATAGGAGTCTCAAAATATTACTTCTTAACTCATAAGTACAAAACACGTACCAATTAACTTTACAGTGGAGAAGGCTGGCAGATGCCACCTTAGCCAAATGACAGAAGTTAACATCACCAGATGGGAAAACAGTTTACATCACATTCTTCCTGATACAATGCAGTGGAGAATACAAACGGCATCACTTTTGAGGTATTCCTGCACCCAAAAACGCATAAATCAGGAGGAAATATTAGACAAACTGACGAGTACTCTTCAAAAATGTCAAGGTCCTGAAAGACAGGACAACACTAAGGAACTGCTTCACACTAAAGGAAACAGGAGAACTAAATGCAATCGGTGACCCGGGATGGGATCCTGGATCTATAAAAAATATCACTGGGCCAGACAAGTTGGCTCAGGCCTGTAATCCCAGCACTTTCGGAGGCTGAGGTGGAATGATTGCTTGATTCTAGAGAGAAAGAGAGGGAGATTATTGGGGGGAAAAAGGGCATTTTGAAAGAGGTATGTGGATTAAATAATATTGGATAAATGTTAATTTCCTGATTTTGATGTAGAAGAATGCTTTTAAGAAAATGTACACTTACGTATTAAGGGGTAAAGGATTATGATGTTTGTACCTTATATTCAAATGGCTCATTAAAACATATAGTAATATAAACAGAGAGAGAGAATGATAAAGAAATGCAGTGGTGTCTGATAAATGTTTAATAACTGGCTTTCTGAAAAAAAAAAATATATTGAGCCGATTTCCCTGGTGCAAGCACTCCCACTATGATTGACTTCAAGCTGAAGATGTGACACCACTGAGGGCAGACTTGGGAAGTGCCTTAGTCAGCTCTGGCTGCTGTAACAAAATGCCATACACTGAGTGGCTTGTAAACAACAGAAATGTATTTCTCACAGTTTTGGAGGCTGGAAGTCCAGGATCAGGGTGCCAGCACAGTCAGGGTTGGCGAGGGTTCTTTTCTTGGTTGCAAACTGCTGACTTTGTTTTGTATCCTCACAAGGCAGAGACCAAGAGAGTTCTCCAGGGTCTGTTTACATTTTTTATTTTAAACTGAGACAGGGTCTTGCTATGTTGCCCAGGCTGGTCTTGAACTCCTGGCCTCAAGTGATCCACCTACCTCAGCCTCCCAAAGTGCTGAGATTACAGGCATGAGCCACCTCACCCCACCCCCACCAGGGTCTGTTTCTTTTTTGGTTTTTTGTTTTGTTTTGTTTTGTTTTTGAGACAGAGTCTCACTCTATCGCCAGGCTGGAGTGCAGTGGCGTGATCTCAGCTCACAGCAACTTCCACCTCCTGGGTTCGAGTGATTCTCCTGCCTCAGCCTCCAGAATAGCTGGGACTACAGGCACCCACCACCACACCCAGCTAATTTTTGTATTTTTAGTAGAGACAGGGTTTCACCATGTTGGCCAGGGTGGTCTCGATCTCTTGACCTCATGATCTGCCCGCCTCGGCCTCCCAAAGGACTGGGATTACAGGCGTGAGCCACCCAGCCCCTGACAGATCTGTTTGATAAGTGCATTAATCCCATCGTAAGGGCTCCACCCTCATGACCTAATCCCCTCCCACAAGTCCCACCTCCTACTCCATTGCACTGGGTGTTGGGATTTCAACATGTGTGTGGGGCGTGGTGGAGAGGGACACATTCAGACCACAGCAGGAAGAGACACCTATGACCAGCCCTCACGAGATGCCAGGTCCAGACACCACTGTCTGTGAAATTCTAGAGGGAGATTGTAATTTGTTTCTCCATCAAGTCAGATAAGTGCATTTTAAGCTTATGAAAATATTCTCGGTCACCTGTTGGGAGAAAGCTATTCCCCTTATTAACACATGATATTCAGAAAATGCAAGTTTTATTTTCTACAGTCATTTGCATTAGTGTGTAAATATTTGGGGTTCCTACTCATGAATGTTTTTGTGATAACATTAACAAGGTTATTATTGGATAAATGTTAATTTCCTGATTTCGATGTAGAAGAATGCTCTTAAGAAAATGCACACTTACGTATTAAGGGGTAAAGGGTTATGATGTGATAATTAAAAATATGTTATAACATTAAAAATACGTTTCCTCTCCATCTGTAGTTATTATTCCTTTAGGACTGTATTTATGTGATAAATAAGAAAAGCAAACATATAGCTAATATAGAAAACAACATTAAACTGTGTTTAAATAAACAGTGGATCTGATCCACCCACTTTCAATGATGGGAAGGCTGCTTTCCTGTGCAGAGGGCTGTGGGCAGCCAGAGGCCCCAGCTGGAATGGCATGAAGTTCAAACCCCTCTCTCACAAGGGCTGGCAGCGGCACACAGCCACGTGGTTCAACCAGCCAACCAAAGATCCCATCACCCCGACCCCGGCGCCTGGGCCCACCCAGCCCACAGTAAGGTGCCTCATGCTAACGCATCACACCAAACTAGGCAGGGTCTGAAGCCTGGAGGAGCTAAGGGTAGCCGGCATTCACAAGAAGCTGGGCCAAACCGTTGGCATCTCTGTGGATCCAACACGGCAGAACAAGTCCACTGAGTCCCGCAGGCCAATGTACAGCAGCTAAAGGGGCACGGGACCAAACGCGTCCTCTCCCCAGGAAGGTGCGCGGGACCAAACGCATCCTCTCCCCAGGAAGCCTTGGCCCCCAGAAAGGGAGACGGTTCAGCAGAAGAACTGAAATTGGCCACCAGGTTGACAGGACCAGTTATGCCCATCAGGAACGGCTACGGGAAGGAAAAAGCCTAAATCATCACCAAGGAGGAGAACCTCAAAGCCTTTGCTAGTCTCCGCACGGCCTGTGCCACGACCTGGCTCTTCAGCATGTGGAGAGCCGAGACAAGCTGCAGAACAGGATGTTGAAAAGAAAAAACAAATACCTGCTGGGGACTTTTTTAAAAAAGCGGGGGCGGGGGGGCATACCCAGCCTTAAACTGAGAGAGACCCGAGACATTCAGGTATACATTTTGTGAACCATGAAGGCCCCAGGGGAGGCCGCCCAGAAGGCTGGAGCATGCAGAGTAAAAACCCACGT